TGCTTGCAAAATAAGCACCTGTGCTCATGTACACATTTCTGGTAGCTTTTATTTTTTGGCTCTTATCCCACACCCTTTTTTTTTTAAGAGGTTCCAGCTTTAGAAAGGCAGCTGGAGTAAAGCAAAGGCTTCTGTCAACCACAGGTTTTTTTGTACTTTGAGTAGCTTGTGTCTTAATTTTGCAGTATTTCCTGACCAAATTGGGGCTTGCACTCTCTCTTGGATGAAGTAAGAGGGATTCCCATGTTCATTCAACCCTTGGCTCTCTTCAAAGATCTACATAAAACATTTTCAACTGTCTTTGGCTTTTATTTTAATTAGTAAGTTAATTGGAACATCAAAAAGCCACCATTTCCTTTCCACAAGCACCAGACACAGCTTTTAACCACAACATTCTTAAAAACACAATACCTGTGTTGTGGTTTAACCCCAGCCAGCAACCAAGCACCACCCAGACGCTCACTCACTCCCCCCGCAGTGCGATGGGGGAGAGAATTGGAAGGGTAAAAGTGAGAAAACTGGTGGGTTGAGATAAAGAGTTTCATAGGGAAAGCAAAAGCTGTGCACACAAGCAGAGCAAAACAAGGAATTCATTCACTGCTTCCCATCGGCAGGCAGGTGTTCAGCCATCTCCAGGACAGCAGGGCTCCATCACGCGTAACGGTGACTTGGGAGGACAAACGCCATCACTCCGAATGTCCCCCCCTTCCTTCTTCTTCCCCCAGCTTTATATGCTGAGCATGACGTCATATGGTGTGGGATATCCCTTTGGTCAGTTGGGGTCAGCTGTCCCGGCTGTGTCCCCCTCCCAACCCCTATCCTGCTCACTGGTGTGAGAGGGAGAAAAGGCCTTGACTCTGTGCAAGCGCTGCTCAGCAATAGCGAAAACATCCCTGTGTTATCAACACTGTTTCCAGCACAAATCCCAAACACAGCCCCATACGAGCTACTGTGAAGAAAATTAACTCTATCCCAGCCAAAACCAGCACAACCTGATAATTATGTTGGTTTTGCAAATGAAACTAGTCAGAGGGCCTCAATTCTGTCCAATGGTAACTTTTGAGGATTGGAAAATGTCATTTCATGTTTAAACACTTAAATTTGACAGACCTGTTTCAGCCCATCTGTCTGTCTGAGAAGGTTGCCAACTCCAGTCTTCCCCTCTCTCAATTCAAAATGTCTGGAGCGTCCCAATTTCTGAAACTTTCCACTTAGAGAAATCAGAATTGACATATCTCTTGAAGACTTACATTTAGTCTTACCAAGTCTTAAGGAGTTCAATTTTCTTTGATGGCTACAGTGACAAATTTGGATCACTATATGGAGCATTTGCCAAAATTATTCCTGCTTCTCTGTGTCTGTATTCCTACAGCTTTGCCCCCTTCCTACCTCCTTTCACCAAATGGCCTGTGTCTTCCTCTCCCAAATTTTCAGCAGCGATATGTGCACGAGGGCTGACGTGGGGATGGTTTCTTGTTACACAGGTGTAAGACCTTGACTTATGTACTTTACCATAGTTAAATTGTTTGAGGAAAAGTGGAATCTGCTGAAGTTCTCGGGCCCCTATTGCCCCTGCAGCTTGTAACCCAGCCAACGACCTACTGGGCTGTGTGCTTAAAAGCTTTATTTGAACTGCATCTGTGCCTCTCTGCCAAGGCAATGTCACACGTCAGTATCTGAACTTTGGGAACACTGCTGTGTTGTTGACTTCAACCTGGGCACGCTTTCTCTTAGGTGGTGCCGACGCTGCGGACCATGTGGCAGTGTGGCCATCAGCTTATAGTCTCGTACGAAGAGGACGTGGAAGTGGAGGAGCACTGTGAGCTGTGGCCCGCGATCCCATACTGGTGGGGAAACAAAACTGCCACTCGCACTCTTATCCAGTATTTAGAGCGCATGAAACGGATGGGCCGGCCAGGTAGGCACAGGGAGTCGCTCGGAGGAAACAAGGGGCACGTACAGCAACGCGAAACAAATAGGAAGTTGGGTGTTCATAGCATTAAGAGATACAACCACTTTGTGCATGCTGTGTGCACAAGACGTGCCCATGCTGCTGAGTGCTTGCCCACCCGTGCGTGAGTGCAACATTCATCTTTGATGCTGCAAATACATGCATCGGTGTATGTACATGCATAGACTATATAAATTGCAGCAGCCACTTCCCTTGCGTGATCCCATGGAAAAGAAGCCCTTGGCACAGAAGAGCTAGCTGGTGCCGTCGTGCCCTTCTCACAGGCAGGAGACTGCTTCCTCAATCCAGTGCTTGCTGCTTCAGGCAGCGCTGATGATGGGGGAGATGCATTATGCTATCCGTGTTGTAAAAAGAAACCCCTGCAGGAATGGTGTGTGAAGGCTGTAGCGACATCAGGAAATAGCAGCGCTCAAGCATGCTGGTGTCGTCCAAGCTGAAGGAAATTCAGTTCGTAACCTCTGATGCAGCTCTGTGATGTGCACGCATGGGGTGACGAAGGGGAGGACCGCTTCAAAAGCACACTCCCCAGCCAAAGGAAAACGCCCGTGTAGGTGCACCCTGTGTTCCTGTCTGTCACGGGGGAAGGCTAAGCATTTGGAAGCAATCCTTACAGAAACAAACATAATTTACAAAGGACTAGTTAGCGGAGGACCTGTAGTCTGTAATGGATAATTTAGATAAATTTAGCTAAACTGGAATGGTTCAATAACCGAGCTTGGTTCAGCAACTCTTTACTACAGCATGCAGTTGCAACCAGGGGAGACAGTCTACTGAAACAGTTCTAGGGATATGAAACAATAGAGAAAGATTGTGAAGTTAGTGTTTGAACGATTCCCAGAGGAACGAGATCTGGAGTTAATGCAATGCTGAGCAGTTTCTGTTCTCCTCAAAGGAATATTTAATGTGTCACCTTCTGATTTTCATTTCAGAAAAATTCTTTGTAGCGGGGATTAACCTTACTGAAAATTTAAGGTATATTCTCTTGCACCCATTTGGATCGTTGAAGAAAATGACACTCCAGAGTCTTCCATGCTTGAAAATCTGGATAAAGCAGCAGTATCCAGGACCAAAAAAAGAATGTATTAACATCGTTGCTGGAGACTTCATAGGAAACGATGACTTTGTCAAGGATGTGATAGACCTTAACACAAAAATTAATCCTCCGTTACACTGTCAAAGTACAGGGGCTGGAACAAACAGCATTTCATTCTCAGCTTCTTAACCTGTGAAAAGCTGAAAAGGCTTTGTCTGCATTCAATGTGTCCCGGTTTAAACATCCTGGATCCCATAAAGGTCCAGTTAACTCAAACCAGCGATGTTTTAAAGACTCAGTAAGAAAAGTGCTCTCAGCATCATCAGGGTTTCAAGGCCTTTTCACAAAAAAGAGAGCAGGCTGAGCTGGCTGAAGTCTCTAGAGAACGATGGTATAGGTATAATTTACTTGGAGGTGCTTAGATTCTGTAGCAGTTGGCAATATTGGAAGTCCCAAGAACTTTATCCTATTTCATTTTAGATAAAAGCAAGGAGAAATATGTCAGTAGCTGCATGAATTATTTTGTGGTAAGATTTTAACTTTCTTATACTTGTAAAGATATTCTGCACTACTTGCAAGCGCAATTCTCAGTATTTTATATCAGTGTGAAGCTGACTTGTCTGTTTTCAGTTTACGTTAAATTTACAAAAGGAACAGTTTAAAAATACTTTGATATACCAAAGATACTGTACTGACAATCCTATTTGACATGATTTTTATATATACAGACCAATACATCATGAACATTAGAGATCTAGAAGTGGCTGTACCGTTGCTGTGTGCTGAGGATCAGTTGTGAGCCACTTCACCAAGAGAGTAGTCACAAAATTCTTTATGGTTTCTAAGAGGTATGTGTATTTGAACACTTACTCTTTTTATCACTCATGCCAGTTCTGCAGTGATAAAGATACCAAAACTACGCCCCTAGACAGTTTTGTCTGTGGTAGTGAGGTATGTTTTATTAGGTGCTGCCAAAATATGGCTTACACTGGAAATAAACACGTAGGAAACAAATTCCTGATCTAAACTCAGACTGCTCTAAAAATACAGATTCTTGGCTTCTGTCGTGCTCATTTGGGGTTTCACAACTGGTCTTTTATTTACCTATTTTCACAGCTCTATAGTTATTTTTTCCTCTCAAGTATTTTTTGCTTATGTAAAAACTAGGGTTTACGCTGTTTGCCATTGCATATTAATCCTATTTTTCTATTTTTTTAAATGAACTGTGCAATAACAGATGATCATGAAGGCAAGAGAAACAGTAAGCATCGGGACTAAAACAAAAACAGGCATTGTATGAAGTTCACTATGCAGCTTCATCAATATACCTCACTTTTCAGATGCACTTTATATGCAAAAGCTGAGTTCAAACATTTGGCGAGATGTTCATGTTTGCAGTAGGTATTTGCAGAAGTTTGAAATCAACTGCTACGTGACATCAGATCAAACTCAGCCTAGACTTCTCAGCATGAAAGGCCAAGATGCTACCTCCTCATGCAATCTCTTACAATTGCAGAATACGTAGGAGTAAAAACCAAACATTCCATTTATAAAGACGACTTTCTAAATGCTTTTTTACAGTGCTTTTTATCCTTGTTCTTACCTCTATGTACTTCATACTGAGCAGTCATTCAGTTCTGGTTTTTATTTTAGAGTCACTACCTGCATGAAGTGTTATGTTATACATATTCAGAATATTTTTCTGCCTATCTTTTGTACCCTCAAGTGGCTTGTTACTCTATCATCTAATAAAACTTGATCTCTTTGTGTAATATGGACTGAAACAGTTTTGCTTCTACTTTCTGTGATACTGATTGGTTTATTGGTTCCCAGTAGTAATTCAGGTAATGGATCAGGTTTTGTTGTTTTTTTCCTTTGTGAAATAATTTCACACAAAATCCATGGTTTGCTGTACCTTAAATGTTTTCCCTTTAAGAGCTGACACAGTATAGGTATTGTAGATAAATTACTGTAGGCAAGAAAACCATATGGGTAAAAGATGTTCACAGCTAACTTTATTTATTGCTTAAATATATAAATCCATGTTTTTCTGCTTCACTGCAATAAGACAGGGCAGTTATTTTACTTAAATATGTATTAAAGCAGAATGCATAAACCTATCTGTATTATTTATATACAGCCAACAACATTTTGTTCATTAACTTTCATTTTCCAAGGACCATCTGAGACACCTTAGCTATGATAAATATTATTTTATTCTGAAAGATGGGGTAAAAAGCTTTATTTATACGGTATAAGAAAACCTGGTACTTTTCTGAAGGTTAATTCAGATGCCATCCAGTGATTTCCATGTGTTTGAGGTCCACAGCTTATAGCTAACAACTGTTTTAAACATTAAAAATTTAGTGCTGTCCTTGCACTTGCTGACAGAATGAAGCTCAAAGCTCTTTTTGTTTCCGAACAGTTTTCTGAAGGTGTCCATTCCTAAAACGCACCATAAACATCAACTGGGGAAGAAGTACGCTCTTCAACACTCAGGCTAACAGGCCATTAACTTCATTTCACATCCTCTTAATGAGATCAGTTTCTTTTCCTAGAAAAGGACGCAGTTTCATGGCGTAAAAATCTTACTGTTAGGAAAGAGGTTTTTGTATCTGCCAAAAGCAGAATTGCCGATTATCACCTTCACCCTGGCTGTGCCATCTTCAGGCATGACTTCTACTTCCTGAACTGTTGCTTCTTTATAGAGCCAACTGCAGAAGTAAAAGCATATTAGCATCTTAAAGGTATGACATACTGCATAAAATGTGATCTTTGTTTTAGGTCAACGTGTTCCAATCTAGGTAATTTAACACTTCAAAAGATGAAGTGCTTCACTTAACTTTTCATTTGCTACTTGCTGTTTGGAAATAGGGTGTAGTGTTTTCATAAATCTTTCAGATTTGTGTTTTTATCAGAAATCTGGCTCCAGGACCAGTGGCATGGTCTTTCAGGAAGTATGTTTTATTGTACTAACACACAGAACTCTGTGAAGGACATTTTCAGAAGCAGACTCCAGGGTATCTCATGGGGATATTTTTTCTCAATAGGTCAGAAAACTTTGATAATTATCCCTGTAATTCTTAACGCAGATTAAAATCTGTATGATACGATTTGGAAATTTTAAAACATGCAAGACTAAGAGTTTCATATTTCCAAGTCCTTCTTACAATTCAAAATTATTTACCTTAGCTGTGGTCCCTCTAAGTTGACGTTAACCGTCAGAATCTTCTTCCCTGTTGCTGTCAAAATTTTTTTCTCTATTTCTTCTTTCAGCTCTTCTAAGCCATGTCCATGTAGAGCAGAAACAGCTAAAGCACTTTCTTCAGTGGGTTTATACCTGAAAGGTAACAATTGCTAGTGCATTTGGTCACGAAGATTAGGTTGTGAAAATATTCCAAGCACGGACAATTTAACCGTGTTACTTTATACTGGCATCTTCCTACAGAGGCCACTTCTTGTATGACTAAAGTGATTTCTTTTGTAATTAAAAGATAATTCTTTTTAAGACCATAGTTACATATGTGAAAGATTGAGAAACACCATTAAATGTATTCAGAAGCGTGGGAGCTCTTTTCTAGACTAAGAATTAAAAAGCTTCCAGAACATAAGAAACATTTAAGTACACTTAGCATCTCCTGCTTACCTTTCTATTAAATCCACTTTGTTCTGAACTTCTACCATTGAGTCCAACAAATGGCTGGGAAGATTAAGATTCTTCAGAACTGACAGAACGGTTGCTTTCTGGAGGATGGTTTCTGGATGAGTAATATCCCTCACATGAACTATCAGATCCTAGCAAGCATCAATATACAAGACAGTTACTTAATGAAACACGCCAGCTACCAGGTTGCAGAGATTTTATACTGTTTTCGCATTGCTAATTCATATAAGAAACTTTCCTATCCATTAGATAGGATAACACTGGCAGGTTAACGCTGTAAAATGAACTACTAAACCAGTATTAAACCAATACTGTTTTTTGTACCATGATGGAAGAAAATCTGCAGCAGCTTAGTCTTTCACTTCACAGTGAGTACAAATTGCCTCCAACAACCCTGAAACAAACCCTGTCAATCAAGCTAGTTACAGAGTTTAGATTTCAAATAACTGACCTAATTTTTCAATACCAAGGCTGTGTAACAACAAGGCTTCAAAAATACTAGAGAAGAAAAAGAGTGAACTCTAAACCAGTTTTAGAAACGTAATGGCTGAAAAACTGTTTCAAAAATGGGGGAAAAAACCCCACGTAACTTGTAATTCTGTTTTCACATTCAAAACGCAGAAGATTCTCCTTATTCTTAGCTCCCGAGATACTATTACTGGTCCTTCACTTACAAAGCTTTGTACAACAGTTACCAGTTTCAAGTACATACACAATCATGTTTGCCATGATAAAAACCAAGCAACCAAATTCAATATTTGCATTCAAAATGTTTCGTCATCTTTGCTCAACATACGGCTTCAAACTTCTGAAAATTAGAGAGAAGTAAATTTCTTGCCTTTCATTTAGCACTTCAGAATAAGAGACAAACAGGATAGTTGCAGCCAGCTTTTGAACATCCTATTATTACATGGTGAAGAGTCCGATCCTCAGAAGCATTCCAGCATCCAGCTACCACTGCATTTTATTACCTTTGACAATACAGGCTTTTTGTTTAAATGTCTGTATATATGCAGCTTTACACTTTGCTATAACACAGGAAGCTAACTTTAATGAGAAAATGATTGGAAAAGTACATTTATGTTTATTACGTGCTGCCTGTATCACATCAGTCACCCACTATTAGTGCTGTAGGAAGCCTTAAGTTAAAACCAGATCATTCCAGAAGCTTTATTTAATTTTTTAACTCTCAAGAAAGCTAGCCTCAAGTTATGCTGATGCACTGTTTAGGTTTTCATATTATTTAATCAGCAAAATCTGATTTATCTGGTTTACATATCATGGAGAAGGACACAGACTCCAAATAAACCCTTTCTGAAATCTCTTCGTATCTATATATTCTGCATAATTTCAAGTGTCAGAAAATTGGCTTATGGTAAGATATTTACATCATTATCTTAGGAGACTACTATAGACAGCCAGATACTTCACTAAGAACAGCATGCCGATTAACTCCCCCTTTTCTGAAGGGGTGAGGATTACCTAAAAGGAAATTATTGATTTACCTGAAAGGAAAAATTGATTTCTCAATTTTTTTATAGTCAACTACTTACTGAGTAAGCCACTTCTTCTAACGTAGCTGAAAAGGACTCAACCAGATTATGTGGAAGATCAGTCAGAAACCCAATGGTGTCAATGTAAATAACTGCCATATGCGAGGGCAGATAGCCAGCATGGGCTGTAATATCAAGAGTAGCAAAGAGCTGATCTCTGGGTTGAAGTCCTGCTTCCCCAGTCAAGGCTTTGATCAAGGTAGTTTTTCCTAATTAAAGAAAAAAAGGACAAGATTTTAATGGCTTGTTTCAAGTAAAAATTTAACTTGCAAGGCTCAGGTGTGTTGTATGATGTAACATACCTATTTCACCAATTTAAATCTAGCCTATGACTAGTTATCCATATGATGTTAGGAAATCCAAAAGCAGTCTTAACTTTTATAACTTGGAATTAGATTTAAGGCCACATCTGGAAGCTATGCTGCGAAATCACAAGATGATCAAAAACTGAACTGACCTGCAAAGTGACCCAACCACATCTCTTACCTCTAAGACTATCTGAAGAGCGCTGCCATGACGGCATTAGGAAGCATACACTTACGCACTCCTCAGTGCTTCTGTTGTCAAATAAAACAATTCAATATTTACTTGTTAAATCCAACAATAAACAGAAGCACTAATAATATGTAGCTTATTAGGTTTATGCTTTTATTGGGCATTTCCCCACGAACATAATACTAGAGACATTTATTTAACTCAATGAAGATTTCACAAAATTTAGTCGTTAAACTGAAGTGCTCAGTATATACCCTAGTTAAAGTATTTCAATTATGTGTACAAAACTGTAATATATATATATTTTGTTGAATCTTCAGTTTTAAAAGTATGGAAGTATGACATTTAAGAAAAACATACAGTGTAATCCAAATCTTTGAGTATATAACTGATAACAAAATTAGTGCAAGGTAACTGTTTTTATAAAGATGTTGAATAAGAAAATGAAATGATCTTAAGATAATGTAACCTGAAAAGAGTGTCTAGTCCAAAGTCTATTTATGCCTTGCATATGAATTCACTTGTGTAAGCTATAAAAAAAATAGAAAAAACCTTTAGCTTTATTTAGATTCTCTTATGAACACATCTCAGAACACTATACATCTATCAATGAAAAGCTACAGTGCTTCTTAGGCACATTTCTCAGATCAACTACCAACTCTCCCGAATTTTCCTCCTATGCCTCAAACCTTCACAGTGATCTGAACACCCATCCTGATCAAGTAAGAAAGATTCATATAAAGGGACACTAGCAGTACAGTCTTCAGCAGTATATATAAAATCTTTTTGGCACAATAGGTGTTAGGCATTTCTTCAAAAGAGGTCTTCAAGACTGCAAAAAAAAAAATCTAACTACAACAAGCATAATTTGCTTTCCTAACTATACCCTAATTGACATATATTCATTACACAATTTAAGAACTAATTAAAATACGAAGCCTATTGACACTGAAATGAGATTCTCACTAGAGTTTCTAATTAAAAAGCAGACAATGTAAGCTCTTTTGTGTTACAATTTCACAAGTCTTTGCTTACCGCAATTAGTATAGCCCATTACTGAGATAATTGGAAACTCGCGTTTTCTGCGCTGAGTTCTAAGTAAAGACCTTTTTCTTCTTAGTTTCTCCAGGGCATTCCTAATTTTAAGTTCTTTTTCTTTCAAGATACGATTCTGTGTCTCCATGAATGTTTCACCTGAAAAATACCAATGAATAATTGGCAGAATAGTCTACAAGAGAAACAGTAAACCAAGTAATGTTGTGCATTTGGAAATCAAGTGAGTTAGCACTAGGGCTTATGAAGTTATAAATAAGCAATAAAACTATGTATTCTTGGCCTAAGATAGAGTGATAAGTAATTATTAAAACATATGCTAAGCACTGTAGAATAACCATGTACACTTATGATGAACCCCTGTGGCAGCAAATAGTCTGTCCAAGGCCACTTACTGAGCCAGTACAGACCAAAACTTTATTATTTAAGTTACTTTCCAATAAAGTTTTGTATGTTCACTTAATTAGATGCAGAACACAAACAGTTTTTCCTCCTGGCCTCCTTCAAATAAAATAAGATGCAATTGCATTTGTTTAAAGGCTATGGAGAAAAAAGAAAATCCTCTAATTCATGAGAATATTTAGACTTTACCTGAGCCCATGATGTATCTCGATCCACCTCTCTGCTGATCTAGCTGAGACACCTCATTTTTCAGATTTGACCTGGCAGTGGGGTAACAGTTAATTAGAAGCAATTTTCTTTAATCAAGCCATCCTAAAATGCCTAATGTGAAGCAGTAATGATATTCTAATAGTACAAATAAAACCACTAAATGACAGAGCTCTAAATAAAACCTGCTCATGGTGAGAAGCCTGGCGAAAAAAATCCAGATTTTCCTGGCTCCTCAACTGTGGTTTGAAAAATCATGCATCTCTCTTAGGAAATTATAATGGCTATTCTGAAATTTCAGAGCGCCAAAGATGCCTCCGATACATCCATGCAACTCACACCAACTTCCGTGTACAAATATTTCTATGCAATGTAATGTAGAAATGTGGAACATTCAGATACACATTAATGCCTTTAATCTTGTTTATAGCTTTCCTTTTTAAACCCATCAATATTATATATGGGATACACATATCCAATTCCTACACATGCTTGCAATCCATCTTCCGCATTAGAAAGAACTAGGACCTTTTCATGAGAAACACATTTTGTAAGATTATCTGTTGAACACTTTCTGGTTTTGCCTGTCAGCACTGCAGAAGCTTAAAACAATGACATTAAAGCAAGCATTTCTGTGCTCTAATCAATCATTGAGCATACTATGCAAGCACTGAAACAGTGTCATTTTTCTTTACAGTACAGTATTACCATTTTTGTTACTGTGAAGAAACAGTCACTACAATATGTGAATATAAGTATGTGATTTGCACAGCTCAAGGTACCTGAGAAGTGGAATTTCGGCCAACGCTATCTGAAGTTTTGCTTCTTTGGTCCGGGCATTACAACGAAAAATGTGAAGTACAACTGTGTATCTGTCAAAGACTTTCACGCCCCAGGCATCTTCTAGTTCTTTCTTTAGCCATGTAAGACAAAATAACCTAGATGTTTTCTGTCCCCCACAGTATCAGTAGATCAATTCCTACACAGCACTACAGTTACAGTTAGCTGACGGACGCTTGAACTCAGAGGATCTCAGGATTCCACTTCAGTGGATGGGTAACGATTATGAACATGCAAAGGCAAAATTTGGTTGACCACGAAGAAAGGTGAAAAAGAGAGTTTGGAAGGTAGAACTTTATGTCTAGGCCCTTCAAATTCAGCAAGAATCCTTCCATTGCCTTTGATGGATTCTGACAACAGCTCTTGCAGCGTATCGCAGAATCAAGAATCTCAGTGGTTAAGTCCTTGCAAAAAATAATTATGAAATGCTGGTATGGGAAAGGATAGGGATAACATAGGAAAAGAAAAAAGATTACCGGGGAAAAAAAAAATTAGAAAGAGAGGAAGGCAGGAAAATTATTTCATAACCAGCTTTCCACAAAATACTTAAAAAACCCCAACCAACCAACCAGAAACCAAACAAAAAACCCCACCCTTGCTTTAAGTCAGCAAAAGACACTTAAAGTATGCAGTAGTTCCCCTCTGCCATCTCTAAAATCCAGAATGCTTGTGTTTTATACGTGTTCTCAAACACTTTCTTGAGTCAACCCTGTTAAACTGCTCTTAAGATCTAGATTTGCAAAACGAATTTTTTTTTTAGCAAATCTAGTACTAAAAGTACTCATACTATAAATTAGGGAATAAAAACTAGGAAATTGAAATGAAACATTTTCAACTTCCATTTCATCGATAAATTGAAGTGCTTGAGATAAGTATCTATTAGAGATACTTACCATCACTGTTTATTTTATAATCAGGGAAAGCATTCAAAACTACCAGCAAAGCATTAATGTTTGCTTGCAGAGTTTGCATGTACTTTACACCCTGCATGATGCTGTACATGCAAAAAACCTAAAAAGTATTTATTTCAGTTTGTCTAAGCATTTCAAAGAGCATCTATAGTTCATGCACCAGTTGTTTTACTGCCAGTGTTAAAAAAAAAGTGAAGCATGCTCCTCCCCTCAACATAATCCATCCATTTAAAATACGGTTTCTTTTTAAGGGTTAGGAATGAAAGTTTAAATATTTGAAACATTCAAATATAAGCTTGCTCTGAATTTACACCTCATAATCAAACTACAATACAGCATCCACAGAACTATAGGAAAATAAATACACTATCCATATAGGTATAGAAACTTGCGCATATAGCTAATCCAAAATGTTGACATTCTTCATAACAAAAGCTGTGTTATCACCTCCATTTTGTCAAGACGACCTTGAGTAACTTTTCCAACATTTTAAGTAGAGCCAGTGGCAAATGCGGGAGCAGAGTCGAGACTAAATGGCTATTAGGCTGCTGGAAAATTTCATGCACAAGAACTGGAAACACATGTCAGCTGGACAAATGTAATAGGAATTAAGTTTCCTTTCCACAAAACTCAGTCCAGGTGGCTTCATATATTACCATTTGCAAATTCAGAGTCATAACCGACCCTACTTCTCATAACATCAATAGCTTACGAACAATACTGATGTAAAGAATATGATTTGATAATATATTCAATTACCTTTGTTAATGAAGATATTCTTTCCACATTCAAGAAGACAGCTGTCACATGGGGCAATTTTTTAATCTTTTCTAAAAGATGGATAACCATTACAAAATGCAGTGTTAAATGTCAATCCTCTTTTTAAAATATACAGAATATAAAACCATTTTGCACTGAGCAGAATGCTCATAAAATATCAAATGGCATCATATTCTTTGTTCACAGAACAGTTATATTTTTACTAATTTAGTACTACGTAAAACAGCTGCCAGTTTCACTCATGTCAATCACATAAACGTAGGGATTAAGTTGCCCCACACATTTTCAGTGGGCACAGGTTATTTCTATTCCATGTTGCTTTTGTAACATTAAAAAAAATTCTTTGAAGTCTGTTTGCAAACCTGCATGATGGATAGACAAAATTGTCTCTCTCTTCAGCTTTCATACCTATCCTTTAACAGTTCAGCTGCAGAAGTCTTCCATTTAGAATGATGCAGTGCTGAAAAATCTCAGTCCTTACCTGTCAAAACCTGAAAGTTTCCTTTGCCAAAAATAAACTTCTTGTCAGGATTTTTCGTAGGAATAATTATCTTATCTAAAACTGTCCAGTTCTGAATGGTATCTACAAGAGCAACGGCTTCAGCAATCTGTAATTCAGCTTTAGGATCACAAAAAAAAAAAAAAAAAAAAGAGAAAAAAGTTTGTAATATACCAACATAACTTTGCTCAGATTTCCAATAACTACAGTACGTGCATGAACAGGGAAAGACCAAGCTACACTGAAATTCTACTAGGGTATTTATTTTAACCCGTAGCGCAAAGAGCAAAATATCTTACCTCTAATCAGAATAATTAAACCTAGTTTGATGCAATTTTACCACACAAAGCATCTTTCTGCCAGTACAAATTATTTCCGTGGTTGTTGATTTAGAGTAATTTTTAATTGTATTGTCAGCAAAGAAATTACCAAGCTTTTTGCCTCAACAAGTGAAATGAATAACTAGTTGGAAAATAAATTCTGTTATTTTAGATGTGCACAAAATCACGCGATTAATTCCTTGGTGTTTTGCGGCAATATTTAAAGCACTACTAATATGGCAAATACTGTTGCTAACTTCACTGGTACTCATTCATAAAGGACCTACACTGATTTATGACTTGCTAAAACCAGCAATCCTGTATTCTGGTTCATCAGTCACCTCTTTTTTTTTTCTTAAACATCTCCACGGCAAAGCACTGATTTTTGAGGACTTCGTGAAATCACAACGACTATACAGGCATATCAGATCAGTAGGTCGTTTTGATTTGCCAAACGGGAATATGATCCTCTTGTCATAACAGATTTGTCAAGTTTTTCTAGATAGCAAAACGTAATTGATGTATTAAATAGGTTACCTTGGTCCAAAAGGTAATATATTTTTAAAGATAACCGTGATCCTCTTTTTCCTCATATTGTTAGTGTTCCTTGTAAAATGCACAGATTCCCTGTTGCACCTGTGGTGTTTCAACAATCATTCCAAAACATTTGTTCAGACTTCAGGCTCTTCATCTGGAGGGCCTAAATAAATGGAAAGGGATCACTGCTATTCTTCTGTATGTCTGGACAGAAAGGTGCCTTTGTATTTTTTTTTCCCCAGTTGTAAAATGGGAATGCTTATGTAAATTCTGAAAAGGTTACAAGCTTTATCCCGCAAAGTGACAATTTGTTATAAATTAGCAGCACTGATTAAATAATATTTAGGTTCATCGCATAATAAACTTGAATACAAGGAGTACCATATATAAATTGACATATATATATATACACACAAAAAACTAACTTACAAAACGCTTAATCCTTTCTATTACAACTGTGTAATTAGAGAAGTGTTTGGAGAAACAACATCAAGGCAAGTTCATCATACATCTTAATCGTGCACGATTAACGTGTATGTTAGTTACCTACAAGGACAGTTGGACTCGGTGATCTTAGAGGTCTTTTCCAACCTTAATGATTCTAATGGTTCTATGATTCTAAGGATTTCTGAGGGAAATCTAAGAATAGCAATGCTAATTAAGGTCCTTGGAAAGGCATTACTGGCGACTGCATCCATAAGTAACTACAGAAAGGCACTCCTTTAAGTCCGTGAGAGAACTTAATTGCGCAAGACCTCATCTTCACCACACTCGCTTCTACGGACAGGAGAGTATTCCTGCTCTTCAGCCGACTTCTGGGTACGCCTAAGGCTGAAGGGCTCCTGCCTACCTGGCCAGGCAGCACGGTTGAGGGCTGAAGGCTATTAACATTCGGCTAAGGGGGGGGGAAACCCGGCCGCTCCCTTAAGCAAGCTGAACACTCCGTGCACCAAGTGGTTTTGCTGCCTAAGACCCGAAGTTAGCGTGATGTTTACAAGCCACAGCACCGGCCTGGGACCAGTCGCTGAGGGCGCGTTCTCTTTACAAGAGTTATCGAAGAAGAAAACACCGACCTAGACCTTTTAGCTACTCCGAGTTTGCATTTCGCGGTTTTACCACTGCAACAACGGGTCTGCTCCGCACTACC